ACGAAGCAACTTAAACACTTACAGTGAAAGAAATGTTTAATAAAGTGAACAACTAAATATTAAGCTTTTCCTTTTTGTAAATTTTGATACCCTTTAGATCATAATTGTTCTTTATTTCATAAATTAGGGTTTCATATTTTTAATTTTAGAATTTCTGCATGCCATCTTACCAGATTTAAACTGATGATCTATAATCCGGAATCGGCAAAGTCCTGATGAGTCTGGATTAACGACTTTTGACTGTATAACACGTGATGACACGAAATTTTATAACGCAATATCTGCCCTCGACAGTCAGTCTGTGAGGAAGCTCTGAAACCACCCTCGGATAACAAATATGAAGAGATAAAAAATAAATTAATTTCAGTGTATGAGGAGTTTGAAAATACCAAACAAAAGCAGCTGTTGCAGGATTTGCAACTTGGAGATATGTGCCCATCCCAGTTATTGTTAAAAATGTAGGAACTTGCAGGTGACAATTTTAAATCGAATTTTTCACAATCATTGTGGCTCAACCATCTCCCGAGCAATATCCAGGCTATTCTTGCCACTAGTAATGAGAATCTACCTCAGTTGGCCCAGATGGCAGACAAAATTCAGGATGTTCTCTAGGAATTATCGTTGCAGGTCGCAGCTTTACAGACACGATCTCAGCATCACCTGTGCGGCAGATCAAAGCCAAGGAACTGAGATAACAGGAACTACCAACGCACTTAGTCCAGTGAGAAAAAAGAAATTTGTTTCTATCACTCACAGTTTGGTGATAAAGCGCATAAGTGTAAGCCTCCATGCACATTTCAACAAACCTCTTTAAACTAAGTGGGCCATCTCTCAAAGTAACGAGTGGCAGTGGTCAGCGCATTAGTCAATTATTTGTAACTGATAAATTGTCAGGCAGGTGCTTTCTTGTCGATAAAGCTGCAGACACTTCAGTCGTAGCTCTCTCTCTGGCCGAATCAAAACATCCACAAGGAAAAATAAACTTATTTGCAGCTAATGGATCAAAAATCGCAACATTTAGAGATACATTATCTTTAGACTTAGGTTTACATCACAAATTTCAATGACCATTTCTCATAGCTGCCGTTTCGCATACAATAATTGGTGTTGACTTTCTGCAAACACTTTCTCTTTTGGTTGACATTAAAAATTCACACTTACTGGACTCAATCACACAATTGTCTGCTGTAGGTGGTATTCGAAATGTCACTAATTTTGGAATTAAATTAATTGCCGGCAATTCTCCTTTCCGCAAACTACTTGAGCAGTATCCTAATGTCATCCGCTTAGTAACCAGAAAACCAGCTGCTGCTCACAGTATTGTGCATCACATAGAGACCACTGGATCATCAATCTCTGCCAAAGCAAGGCGGTTCCCTCCTGAGAAATAAAGGGCCACAAAAGAATTTAAATATATGCTTGAGCAGGGAATTTGTTGGCCCTCAAAAAGTTCATGGGCTAGTCCTACACATCATTCCCACGAAAAACGGTGACTGGCATCCTTGTGGGGACTACCGACGTCTTAATGTAGTTACTTACATTACATAAGTTTGCCTGACAGATATCCAGTCCCTCATATTCAGGACTGCATGCAAGTCTTGGAAGGCAAAAGTGTTTTCTCTACGTTAGACTTGACTTGTGCTTATCATCAGATCCCAGTCAATCCTCCTGATATACCAAAAACTGCTGCAATAACTCCTTTTGGATTATTAGACTTTCCTGTTATGACTTTTGGGTTGTGTAACACTACACAAACGTTTCAGCATTTCATAAATGAAGACCTTCACAACTTGGATTTTTGTGTGCCATATTTCGATGATATTCTTGTAGCTTCGACAAATGAATATGAGCACACTGAACACCTTTGTTTAGTTCTTGAATAATTTCAGTCCTATGGTGTAGTTGTCAATCCATCAAAATGTGTTTTTGGAAAATCTCAAGTGTCATTTCTTGGTCATGAGTTTTCCTCGGAGGGTGTTCGCCCACTTAGTGATAGAGTTACTGCAATTCAAAATTTCCCAGAACTCAAAACTGCCCAGGAGTTGTGCACTTCCTCCCTCATGCAACTGTGAAGCAGGCGCTTTTGCATACGTATTTGATCAGCAGCAAAAAGAAAAATACGCGGCCAATTATTTGGTTGGGTGAATCTTGCACAGCTTTTGTACAATGTAAGGAGCACCTAGTGTCGGCAACAGCTCCTACCTACCTTTCTAAGCATCCGTAGCACTAATGGTTGATGCATCCAATTCAGCCATGGGTGCGGTTTACAACAGCTTATAAGCGGAGCATGGATGCCACTGGCATTTTTCTCAAAAACGTTTTCTGCACCACAATCAAAATACAGCACATATGATCACGAACTTCTTAGTGCATATGAAGCAGTTAAACATTTTCGTCATATGGTGGAAGGTCGAGTGTTTTCTATACTGACCACAAGTCTCTGATTTTCGCCTTCCAATAAAAGCTAGACAGCCTCCCCGGGCAATGCATCATCTAGATTACATAACACAGTTTACAACTGATATTAGGCATGCTGAAGGCTCTCAAAATATGGTTGCTGATGCTCTATCAAGAACTGAAGAGATTCAGTTGCCATAAACAACAGATTTCTCTGCCATTGCAAAGTGTCAAAAACAAGATCCAGAATTACAAAATCTTTTGTCTGACAAAGCTTTACATCGACTTAATTTATTACCTATGCATCTGGAACCAAATCTTTCACTGTACTGCGATATGAGGGATAATGTGGTGTTGCCATACGTTCCACTGAAATTTCAACATGGTATTTTTAGCAGCCTTCACAATTTATCCCATCCTGGCATCACAGCTTCCCGCATTTTAATTCAACAGCATTTTGTGTGGCCTGGCATGCAGAAGGACATCGCTGTATGGGCTAGAGCATGTGCAGACTGTCAAAGATTAAAAATCCACAGACACACTCGAACTCTATTGCAACATTTTGAGTTATCATCTGCTCGCTTTAGCCATATCAATTTAATTGGACCCTTACCTCCATCATAAGGTTATAGATACCTCCTTACGTGTATCGATAGGTACACACATTGGCCTGCGGCTATTCCTATTGTGGATATGTCGGCTGACACAGTGTCCACACATTTTTTTCTGCGTGGATCTCATGGTTCGGAGTACCCGAGTCCATGACCACGGACCAGGGACGACAGTTTGAGCCTCAATTATTTTACTTCATTAACAAAATTCTCAAAAACTAAAAAGATCTGCACATCACCGTACCATCCGAATTCCAATGGACTTGTCGAGAGGTTTCATCGCTCTCGTAAACAGGCCATTAGATGCCATACTTCTGTTTACTGGGTTGATGTTCTTCTCACAGTGCTCTTAGGATTAAAAATGGCTTTTAAAGAGGACCTGAGTTCTTGCAGTGCTGAAATAGTCTACGGTATCAATTTGTTTACCTGGAGATTTTATAAACCCTCCAAAAAAAATCAATCAGTGTCGAGCCTCATACGTTTCCTCAAACAATTACACGAAACCATGGCTGCATTAGCTCCTACACCCACAAGTGTACATTCTTCAAGACCTGTGTTTATTCCCAAAGAGCTCACTAAATTATTGCATGTGTTTTTAAAGTGCGATGCATCAAAAAAGTCTTTAAAGACTACTTATACATGTCCACATCTGGTTCTAAGTCGCACATCCAAGACCTATCGTATACTTATCGGTAACAAAGAGACAATGGTGAGCATTGATGGTCTTAAACCGGCTTTTACTTTTATACCAGACTAACTTTTGTCAAGACTAATACTTCAATCACACCTTCTTCGAAGCCACCTACACCTTCACCCCATGTGTCTACACCTCAAGTTGCAACTGCATCATCATCATAATCTGTGCCTGGATTCCAGAAGCAAGATGTTCCTCAGCATACATGTTCTGGATTGTAGGGTCTGATTTAACTGTTGGTACCTTTAATTTCGTTGACACTGGAGAGGGAGTACTGTGGCAATACTAAAAGAACTTGTTTTGGTTATTCGCCAACCACATGCCCAAATCTCTAGCTGTAACTGTAATGGAGATTTTCAGAACATGCAAAAATCACTTTACGCTATGTCGCATTTGCGCTCAGTCGTATTTGTGCACCGACGTAAATATCTTCAATGTTAATGTAATGAGTAGTTATGTGGTAATTATTGTAATTAAATGTTTATTATTTGAAGTCAACTATCTCTATGTGTGTTAATCCATTATATAGTGAAACCTAACCAGGCCTCTACAAATATTAATTGTCGCATTTCGCACATTGCATCAATACCAACACATTTAATGAGATGCATGGACTAATAAACAATACCAATTTGTCAACATTTGATTTAAAGTACTACATAGGAGCCATAAAATAAAAAAAAGATAGCAAGCTGATGTGGGGTTATCACATGGCAATATAAGATTTCATGAAGTTATAAAATCTACTCTTCTTACAGATCTAAATTTTTGGCAACTATAATGGCTGAACAGAACAGATACATGTACATTCCCTGCACTTGAAAGAATGAAAATTATACTCTATTTCACAAACTATACTGCATAATGCATATATTTGCTTTCCAATGGATATTGAACTATCTCTTCAGTGTCTCGGCCATCAGCTTGTTTTTCAAAATATGCAGGAAGAGTAAGCACTGCAAAACATGGATATCACTGGCACAAATGACACAGTTACACAAGATTTAATGGGATAACATAAAGTTAAAAAAAGAATTTTATTACAAAAGCTTTTACAATTTATTTATTTCCTTGAACAGTTAAATCAGATAATAAATCTGACCATATAGTTCAAAGCAATTTTTCTATTATGAGAAAGTTTAAATCCCAAGATGTCAATAATCACACAGATCTTAGATAGGTAAATTAGTATAATCTTAAATAAAGAGACCAAAATGCAAATCACAAACAGAAAAGCAGATTCTTTAGAAAGTATTTTTGTTATCATATAAAGAAGAAACACATGAAATTGCTCTTACCTGGCTTTGCAATAAGTGGATCATCTTTGAAAATGTCAACAGAGGATCGGACATCTTTATAATTCTCCTTGATGTAATATTCTTTATATTCAAACTCATTTTTCTGTACTTCCTTTTTAGTACTTGACTTTTCCTCGCCGTTCTAAAAATAAAAACTTTTATAAAAGTACATTAATTGTGTAAACTGCATGGCAGTACACACTTAAAAAAAATTTCAATAATAGAACTACTAGTAAAATACTAATAGCAAAATATTGAAATATAATGCTACTAACATGAACATTTAGATCCAAAAGCACCTCAGTAAGAGGAAGAGATACTTTGAAAAAATAATTGTCAATCGACAACATGGAAGAAAGTTTATAACAAGTTTCAAGGCAAAATAATATAAAAACCAATACGATGGCATTCTAGACCGGTCTAGAATGCCACCACATTAGTTATTGGATATAATAATGTTTTTTATATTGGGTATATGCCATCATATTGGCTGCTTATACCATATCAATATAATACAACACCAACAGTACTTCCGACTTATGCTTCAAACACTAAAAGAATATTTTTTAACATATAACACACAAAAGAATATTTTATAATACATATAACAATAATGGTTTCTATATTGGATAGATGTCATCATATACAACAACTACAACTCTAATATATGCTAATATACACCCTACTCTAATATACGCCCTAATTTCACCAAATGTGGCGATATGTGTTTCACCAAATGTGGTGATGTGTGGTACAACTCTAATATACGCCCTAATTTCACCAAATGTGGCGATATGTGTTCTGTGCTGGTTTTTGGCGCGATTGCGTGTTCTATGGCAACCCTGTTGACGTTGAAAAATCTTTCGCTGGAGCTCGTTGGTTCGCCTCTGTGTCTGAGAAGATGGGAAGAAAAGATAAAATGGTAGTTGTTGAATTGAAGTTCGGCAAAAGGAAATATGATTGTGGCCATCCTGTTGAGGGGTAGTGGGTATTTGGAAGTGTGGAAAGAGGGTCTGGGAGATTTTTTAATGGCAGTGCATGATAGAAGTAGGGATTTGTGAATTTTCATTTATTTTGTGAACCATAGTATAAATTTTCTGGATAGTGTGTCTGGCTGTCATGTAAATACGATAGTGATTACGTGGCGGCATGTTAAAGGCGGTATGAAATTTATATTTCTGCTATTCGAAAAACGCATTAATTCATGGGTAAGTGCATTTTATTTTTCCTTGTTCTTATTTTTGTAGAATGTTATGTTCATTGGTTCTTTAGTATGAATTACTGTCGTTATTGTTGTTTTTTTAAAATTGTTTGAATTTATTTTAGTTTATTTTGTTGTTTAGTGTCTAGACTGTACATTCGTAGATGTTTTTTAAAGTTGAAAACAGAACTCTGTGTACATGGTATTATTTGAAATTTATTGTTGTTATGTTATTTTATTAAAGCGAGGAGTGCGTAGATCGTAGATTCCTTCCTTGCCTAAATTGTGCAATTCATAGAATTTTTTTAAAGTTTAAACAGGATGCTGTGTACATGGTATTCTTTGAAATTTATTGTTGTTATGTTAATTTATTAAAGCGAGGTGTGCGTAGTTTGTAGATTCGTTCGTTGCCTACATTGTGCAATTCGTAGATTTTTTTTAAGTTAAAACATGTTGCTGTGTACATGGATTCTAGTGAAATATTTTTGGTTAGAAACTTTACATTTTTGCTATCTAAATTTTTTTTTTTCGCTTTTTAGCTAAATTGTGTGTTCAAAATGTAGTTTTTGCAGACATTTTAGGCTAAAAGTTCAAAATGTAGACAAAAAATTTAGATAGTATATGGCAGCGTGAAGTTTTTTGCCAAAAATATTTGGCGACTTGAGGGCGTATATCAGAGTAGTTCCATATTTTATAATACATATAACAATAATGGTTTCTATATTGGATAGATGTCATCATATTGGCTGTTTATACCATATCAATATAATACAAAACCAACAGTACTTCCGACAATCAATATAATACAACAAATAATTCGACAAAATCAATATAATACAACTAAAAGAATATTTTATAATAACACACACACATAATTATAATATATGTATAACAACACACAAAATTACTCTATAATATATGTATAACAACACACAAAATTACTCTATAATGTATGTATTGTGTAACCTGCTCCTTTATTGAGAAAGCATAAGGACAACTAATACATGTGAGAGCTTCTTGAACAAAATATAATGCTTCTTAAAATGGTAAACCTAACACACATACAAAAACTTAACAATACAATATCACACTTTCTGCATTTATTCATTGAAAATTTCAGACTTGCAGGAAGATTGTATGCCCACTTTTCAACAGCTGGATTATTTCATAAATCTGACATTTTTGTTGGAAAACAAAAATTATGAAGTGAAAAGATCAGCTGTTTGCTTTTTTAATTTTCTTCGAAAAGTATCATTAGTAAGATGTCTTTCAAACAAAAGTTTGTAGTCTTGAAAAATTAGAGAGAATGGGAGAAGGTTTTTCTATCTTTTTACTTCCTGAAATGAGGTAATGAATGAAATATACTGAAGCTTATGTAGTGGAGTAAAATATATTTTAAAATTAATTTTATTCACATTTATTGTAACACAATGCTAATAAGAATGAAACTGACACACTGCACAGAGGCAACCATTATTTCAAAGCATAATGCATTAAGTTTTTTTTCTTTTTTTAAGTTCTGGGCTGCAGAAATGATGGATTTATCCTAGTAAGAATGAAGCAAACAACTTTCTATTTTTCATATGCATATTCAGGGTCAAAATTTTACTAACAAATAATAGCATTCTTGTTTTCAGCCATGTTGTGTCCTCAAAGCATTCACAAACTGCTGAATGAATAATAGCACCAAACATTGGTATGATCCCTGAGGATGACACTGGCTGGCAGCATGGAAGATTTTCTTGATTTCTCCCATGTGTTAAAAGAAAATGGTTTCCTCAGAACGTTTTCCATGAAGACATCTCATCTATGGCAGATTGCTCTCCTCTCCAGTGCCCGGCTGTAAAAATCGTCAACCACCAATATTTTAGTTAAATTTTAGTGGATGTATGTAACATTCAGAGTTGTTTATAATACAGGCCTTCATATTGCCATACTAATATGTCCTTGCATTGTCATCAAGAAAATAGATATTTTTAACTGATGCTAATGATACACAAAGACTGTTTATGGAACTCCAAATATTATTCATGGCTTATTGTTTCTTTCGGTTTCAGAAACTCATTACAGGAAATTTCACTATAGACCAGACTGGAAAGAGAATGAGCTAGGATATGAACTTTCCTACAATTATGTGAATCATTACCTTATTTCAGTTTTTTTTTTTTTTTTTTTTTTTTTTTTTTTTTTTTGGGATAAGTGTTAACTTTTCCATGTTTTGTAGATGTACGACATGTTGCAGTATGCATACAAAAAATTATTTACTGCTTACAGAGATTTGCTTCATAGTAGACAAGATTTTCAGTCTTTTTAATAGGATTCCGTTCATGATGGATGCATTTTTATTCTTAAACATTTCCAACTTTTTCTGCTTTGACACTAACTTCAAGAATTTTTGAGCTGACAAAAATACCATGGGTCAATATCTCACATGGCCAAATGCGCCATTATCTCCTGTTATTACTTTTAACATGTTTTAAATTTCAGGCCAAGATTTGTGATCACTTCCTTGATGTTCACAGAACAGCCTCTTTAAAATAGTTGAAAAATTCTTTAAAAGCAACACTATTAAACAGCTTTTAAATTTATTATCCTGACTAATAACAGATGTGTTTTAGCAGCTGAAAGCCTCTGATGAAACAAAAACTTGATTATTTTGCACTGGGAGCAGAGAAATACTGAATTTGATTCTAAATTTCACCGAGCAGCTACAGGGAAAAACTGATCAGTGAAGTAATCAGTAGCAATGAACATGGAAATAAAAGAAGAATGGCAGCAGCTAACAGACAAAATATCTGATTAACACATATAAAGTATATTCATGCAAATTTTTAAACTTCAGCAGGGTTGACCTGGATCATACAATAGATACCCAATGGAACCATCTTAAAATAAGAATTAAAAATTATGTAATTACTTTTTCAGATTTGATTAAGAACTGAGAACTTACTTTTAAATCATTCTTCTGATCATTTGGCTGTTTGACATAATGTCTAATTCCACCCAAGTGAGATACAAGATGTCTGCATGTTATTGTAACCTTAACAAAAGAATAAACTTTTAACACTTTTTTAATAAAAGTAAATTGTTGAACTCAAAACATATACTAAACTCAAAGCGAAACTAATAATCACTAAATTTTACTTTTATTGAGCAAATGGAATGTGATACATCAACTTTGGAATTTTCAAGATTTTAACTATTCAAGATATATTTTTTTAGATAATGCAGCAAGACAGCAACTCTGGGAAATGTGCTTCTGAAAAATCGAATTTACTTCCATGTAAATAAAAGAATAATTCTGATAAAAATTATAACGGTATAATTATAATACTTTGTTTTAAAAAAATGGGAAAAGACAATTTATCACACAGCATATGCACATTAACTCCTCTTTGTAGACAGGATGTTCAATTTAGCAATATCCAATTCCTCTTCTACAAAAAATCCAGTAATTTGGTTAAAATATAAAAATTCTTGATTACACCTTAAGCTATTTTTCAAGAGGCATACTCCTAGTTGCTAACTAAATACGACCACTAAATGCTGACAATTCATTAATTATAAAATGTAATATTATTGTTAAACTACTCAAAACATTTCTTTGTTTTCAAAAACTGTTTTAGTGCTTTAAAAAATATCAAATTGTGCCTATTGGTAAAATTAGTTACTGCTCTACAATTTTACAAAATTCTAACCTGCAACTCCTAATGACATGGAGTTTGGCCACTCACGTTATAAATCAATTTTAATCTAAGCATTAAAACCAAAAAGTAATAAATGTAGACATGCCAGTATTTTTTCTTTCAGAAGTTTAAAAAACAGTCTTTTTTGTGGTGGGTATGTATTTATTGTCCTTGAATATGTTTGTTATAGTAAATACAGTCAAAAGTCTTTAATCCGGACTCGTCAGGACTTCAGCATTACGTGTTTACGCATGCTAAGAAAGTTTGTAGCTTTTGAGGTTCGGATTATAGATCATTCGGGATTATGGACGTCCAGATTAAAGACTTTTGACTGTACTATAACAATATCTGTAGTATTTTACTCACTTAAATAATGCAGATATAGTACCTAGAAAGACGCCGATTGTTTCCCACATACATCATAGAAAATCATACAACACAATTACAATATGTTATGGCGCAAGAAGAAAGCTGCGACAAATAAAATCTTGCAAAAATTTTGTAACAAATTTAAGATTACACAAGAAATAAAATAACAATAATAATAATAAAAAAAAAACTTTGCAAGATATAAACTGTAACAAAAAATTAATAAAATTAAATCTATACAAGAAAGAAACAACAAAGCATTAAATTTATATCCATTTTGATAATGTATTTAAATCAACTTAAAACAGGTTACCATACATAATGTTATGTTCCATTACGTGGGGGGTACACAATAATGTGCCCCTTCATTCGTATTATGTGCTGTGTAAATCTGGCAACATGCTGATGTTACAATTCTAAATTGAATCTACACATAAGTAAAGATTTATTTATAAAACAGTAACAATAAAAATAAAATCTTCATGCAATTTAAAATACATTTTATGTCTTGTGCTGATCATAAATTGTATCTTTTTATTTTGTGTGTACAAATCCCTTGTAGTGGGAGTTTCAGTTTATTTTGTATTTCAGTTAAAATGACTCTTTCATCACTTCCTAGAATTTCTTAAAACATCTTCAGTTTAAAGTGTTCATGATAAAACTACCTATTTTGCCCGATATACATGAATGAAAAATACATGCCATAAGGGAAATGAAATGCTGTTCAAAGGATTTACTGTTCTTTCATCCTAGTTTTTTTGTAGTATTATGTCTAAATATTAGTAATTGTCCCACTTACTATTTATTTGTTGATGAATTTTTGTGGCATATTTATCATTATTTATTACTATCTAAATTATGTACAGGGTGTCCACAATTAAACTTGAAATTTGCAAGCAATCTGTAGCAAAAAATGATACAGCGGAATTCCATGAAAATTGGGTAATGGCAGAATGAAATTATGGGAATTTTATCCAAGGGGGCGGGGAAACAATGAGTTTCAAAATCTACCCCGAGGTAGCATATCATAGCTTCATTGAGAATCTATAAATAATCTATAAAGTTAAAAGAACATGCTCGATATGATGTCCACCACTGTCTGCTACCATCTGGAAGCATAAAATCACATGTTTGACTGCTGAAAGCAGCATTAACTGGGGAATGTTATGCACATGGTGTTCTATACTTTCTTTAAGGTCAGATACAGATGTGATGGGATCATGGTAGACCATGGCCTTGAGGTATCCTCACAGCTAAAAGTCGCAAGAATTCAAGTCGGGGGATCTAGGAAGCCCAGCTGTAGGAAATTGTCGGCTGATGATTTTGTCATCACCGAAATGGCGGCAGAGCACTTGTTTCACACAATGAGTGATGTGTGGAGAAGCACCATCCTGTGTAAACACTGTGGTTGTATCACATCGGCTTGCCTCAAGAGCCGGAATAACGGATTGCTCTAATAAATAGGCCTATCGTTGATCGGTGATGGTGCATGTCACAGGCCCTGCAGCACTGTGCTCTTCAAAAAAAAACTGACCCCCAATAAAGGTTGCAGTAAAGCCATGCCAAACCGTTACATGCGAAGAGTGTAATGGAATTTGTAGGAATTGATAGCAGCCCAAATACGGCAATTATGCGTGTTAACCGCACCTTCCATATGAAAGAGGGCCTCATCGGTCAAAAAAATATTCCATGGCCATTCATCCTCAAGCTCAACTCGCGCAAGAAACCGCAATGCAAAAGTCTGTCAACTCAGCTAGTAAGAGCTGCTGCACTAGCGACAGTTTATAGGGATAGTAGCGTAAGACCTTTTAAAGAACTGTATGAACCATGGAATGAGGTTGTTCAACAGATGCAATTCACCGAACACTAGTGCTGTCGATCATTTGTGATCTGTCTTCCTCCACTTGCGTCCCTACATCATCCACTATCTCTGCTGCAACACATTTTCGTTCCCGTCCTGGCTGAATCCCTAATGTTCCTGTTGCTTCAAATTTCCTAATCCATATTTGTTAACACACACACAGGTTTTTTTAACACATAATTAAACTCTAGGAAGAAAGAAGCCTGGCTTGATGAGTCACAGTACCAGCTGTTGCACGTTGATGGTAAGGTTTGGGGTATAGCACAGGCTCCACAAGAATATGGGTGAATTTGTTAAGACATTTTGTAAGCTGACAGCGACTCTATAATGGTAAAAGATATGTTTTCATGATATGTTTGGGTCTTATATTTTTGATAGGCATGTCATTAGACAGGAACTGGTACGGTGGGTTGCTTGGTGATCATTTGTATCCTTTTACTGATTTTCTGCACCCCAAGAATAACAAGAATTATCAGGCTGTATCCTGTCATCATGAAAAGATTACTGAAGAGAGATTTTGTAGTTCACTGCAGACAACTTCAACAAAAGCTTTGACTAACATGTTTGTCAAATATGACAAGAATGGAATACGTTTTGGATATGACTGAAATGTGAATTTGTGCACAATATTCAGCATCTACAACAAGTGAGCAGCTATCCAAATGGTACGCGTAACATCTTTTGAGGAGAATTCTATTAAAGTCTATACAAAGTTGCTGCGCTTCTTTGGGCTAAACAAGACCCTACATGAAACTTACCAAGTAGCTCATGACTTTGGTATTTCAGTACTGCTTTTGTTTCCATATTCAAAGAATCACTGTACCTGGAAGCAATACGCAGGTTTATTTCAAAAATAAAAATACTGAAATTATTAAGCTAACATGAATGTTGCATCATTGCTACACAATCAATCCGAAATCCGAAAATTTTCAAGCAAAAAGTGATTCTACAAATTACAGAGGGAAAACACTCTTTACTGTTGTTAAAACTTATAACAAATACAGAGACGAGCCAAAACATTATGACGATCCCTGCATTTTTTAATGAACTTGTCTGGATGACATGGAGGGCAAGTGATTGTGGGAATGGTAATTAACTGCTGCTTGGAGAAGGTGAGGAATCGTTCTTGCACTTACTTTTGCAAGTGATGGGAAAGGCTGCTGATCTATGTTAATTAGAGGGCAGATTGCAATGTCCTAAGACTCGGAACAAGTATTTCCAAAACTGCATGACTGGTAGGTTCTTCACAATTTGCCATTGCTAGTACTTATGAAAAGTGGTAAAATGATGGTGCAACCAGCAGTAGATGCCAAGGTGTAAAGGATATCAGTGACTGTCCTGCTTGGTACAGAAAAATTGGTGCCAACCAGTGGCTCAGCTGACAGTCTAATACAATGCAGGTCCAAGTACAAGGTCTTTCAGAACACACAGTTCAGCAAACAATATTGAATATGGGACTGTGCAGCAGACGTCCCACCTCGTGTGCCTCTGTTGACCAAGCACGTCTTTGTCATCTACGCCTACAGTGGGCCCGGGAACATCAAGATTGTACGATGGATAAGAAGACAGGTGCCTGGTCGGATGAATCATGATTTCTCATTCATCACATTGAAGGTGTCAGTGTATACCATCTTCCAGGTGAATAGTTGCTCCTCCCTGTATAGCAGGTCACAGGCTGGTGGTAGTGGTATTATGCTTTGGGGGACATTCTCATAGGTGGCTCTGGGAACCTTCGTTGTGGTAGAACAGACCATGAAAGCTGCAGATTATCTGAACATAACTGCAGACCAGTTGCACCTTTACCTGGCACCTTCTTAATTGGAAATGAAATCTTTCAGCAGAATAACACCCCATGTCACAAGGCTCGAATTGAGTTCGTGGTTCGAGGAGCATTAGGATGAATTCCAGTTAATGTCCTGGCCACCTAACTCACCAGATCTTAACCCAATAGGGCACATTTGGGATGTCATAGAACAGTAGCTCAGAGCTCAAACACCACCATGCCAAAATATCTTGATTTTGCATGACCACTGCTTAGACATTTGGTACAACGTGGCTCCAATCATCTACCAAGAACCTGTGGCATTCATATGAAGGAGCCTGTTACTGTTTTATGGGCCAAAGGTCACGAAGTGCATTATTGAGTTGGTGATCATAATGTTTTGGCACTTCAGTGTATATAAAAATAAGTTGGTAATTAAAAGACTATATTTCTTCAGCTTTTCCATTTAGAAAGTATAATGCAGAGAAATTTATACACTGTGTTTCCCAGAAAATAGAAAATCTTATATTTTGTTCAAAAAGATGCATTAGGGTTTATTTTTATGTCATACTTTATCTTTTTCACGCAAAACAATATTTATCCATTTATAACAGTCTACATTAAATAAAGTGCTCGACCATTAAAAAACACATTTATTTATATACAAAATTATATTACATATACGTATGGTCTTCTTCATTTGGAACACTGTCATAAAGGTCCAAATCCCGAATTGCTTGCGACCTAAATAACCAACCTAAATTTCTTGCGAATATTTTCTGTAAACCCACTGGCCAAAGTTTCATATGTCTAGTAATGAAGCCTTTCTTAAAGGAGAATTTCTTGTCCATGTAATTCACCATGATCTCCTAGTCCAGATCATGGTGAATTGGCGACCTAGTTCTCAGTTATTCTATCCCACAAAATTTTCAACCAAATAATGACCTCTGCTAGACGAGGTTTCAGAGTTTCTACTCTTATTTCTCTCCGTTCCATTTTCAGTGCAGACATTGACTTCCGTGTGCAAACTGCCCTTGAATGGCATACTTATTGCAATATCAAGATTTTGGAGACATCCCATTTATCTGATCCACTCCTTTTTTCTGCAAGGAAGTTAGTTCTTACATGTCTTTCTGAATCCTACACTAGCAGAATCCTTTGGCTTCCTTGCAAAATAAGTGGTAGCATCATAATGACCCACTTCCTCATTGTTTCTTGCGTTATTAGGCTTTATCGATTTCAAGAATACAGATGTCTAAAATATGTTCAGTTTTATCTTTCTTTCCCTTAGAGATCACTAGAGGCAGGACTTTCTTTTCATCCAGATGAACTGCCAAATATAGGTAATATATGCATTTTCCTAATACAGGAAATAGTGATTGACAAAATACCCCTCTGATCAACTGTCGTTTGAGATCCTTGACCCATAAACACTGCAGTTGCATCTACAGTAAAAATGTTAGAGAACTGGTGTTTACAAAGATTGATGTCATCAATAAAAGAACTACAAAGCAAGTGCACATTTAATAAGTTGAATATTTTCCACTTTGACGAGTGTTACAAATCTTCTTACAGACAGTTAATATTGCTGAAATAAGCCCTGCATCAAATTCTATGATGCTTTAAATTCTTAAGCTTACAAATTATAAAATACCTATTTCTTCTGTACACACATTAAACACCTTTCACCTTTCACCTTTGCATTTGCTTCATTGTTGCAAACATGCTAATGGTTGCTGCTTCAAATGTATTTCAAAATTCCATACAGTACAGATGTGTATAAACTGGTCCAAACTTTATGATTTAAAAACTGGTCCTTTTTGCACCACTTTATCTGTGTTGTCTAAAATAATATCTGTCAACAAGAATAAAAGGAAATATTAAAATCAATACAAACTACAGCTACCCACAATTCATTATGATCTCCTGCCTCTTTTATTTGTAGTTTGCTGTATTTTTATCATCACACACAAAATCATTCCATTAGACATGGAAGTGAATCTGCAGATGCCGATTCACTTCCATGTCCAATGGAATGACTATGAAATAGCTGACTGATGGTACTATGAAATAGCTGACTGAACATGTAAAGCGAACCTTCAACTACGACTTGTAATACAACATCCTGAAAAATCTCACTACAGTTTATTTTATGATTACTAATATTTTGGGAGAAACATAGTACCTCTTTGAAAACAAATGTATGGCTAGAGAAAGTTCAAAGAAATTGTTAGTAAACTAAAGAATGAATGGCTGTCAAAGGTTATCAAGATAAATATAACTAATAATCATATGATAGTACTTTCTTAACAAAGAAATTACAATTATAATTAGCTAGGGCTTAATATGAAAGAAATTTACAATATAAAAAAAATCTTATTACTGGTTTTCCATCAAAGTTTTTCTGTGGAAAATATGGCACATATTCTTGAACTGGCTTATCAAGGTCTAGTTTGCCTTGTTCCCATAGCTTAGCAACAGCAGCCATAGTAATGCTTTTACTAATGCTAGCAATTCTCATGACTGTATCACCAGAGCACAAAACTCGATTCTCTACATCAGAATAACCAAGACCTGAAAGAAATCCCAACTAAATTAAAAGTGTTATGAAATTAAAACAAATCTGATATCTCACTTGCAATGTATAAAAAGCAGGCATTTAGTAGAAAGGTATAAAATGCCTGACATTTTGGGATAAAGTATTATATATATATTTACAAAATATTTTGATGATATATTGTTTGTTTACTAAGTGTAAAAATAATTGTGTTTGAGTATTACCCGAACAGTAGGTGGTTGGTGGTATATGTAGAGAAACAAAAGATTTGTTTGTTGTCACTGTTCCTAATAGAGCTGGCTCTACCCTTCTTAATAAAATTATTGAAAATATTGCAAATGGAAGCACAACTTATTCTGACAGTTTGAAAGGTTACCAAACAAAGAGAATAGAAAAAGAAGAATTCCTACGTGCTAAAGTTAATCACCCGATACAGGAGTTCATACACAAACAGTTGAGAGAATGTGGGGCAATGCTAAATGGAGGAACAAGAGACATAGAGGGACAGCAAGACATCATTTAGAATCTTATTTAGCTGAGTTCATATGGTGACAGCATCAGGTCAAAGAAAATAGAGACTGTTTTGAATCTATTTTAAACTCTACATCGGCCCATTTTCCACCAAAATCCAATTGACTACTTTGATTTCAAGTAAAGTGTTTTGATTTTAAATAAAGTGTTTTATTTATGATTTGTTGCAAAAATTTTAGGTGTAGATTGGCGGCACTTAAAAACCGCCAAATCTGCAGCTGCGGTGGCATTAATATGCAAGTACCAACGCAACATACTTTGGGCATTGAAAGAAAGAAGCTCTGGATATGTGTTTGAGGTATTGTTGCATTCCGTACGGGTTCATGGATTTGGAGCGATTGACGACAACACTTGATGATGAATGAAAACACAATTTACTAGCCATTATTACCAAGGACAGCTCCAAAAACATGTTTACAGTCATTGAAAAACTACAACAAACATGCTGAAATAATAAGCAACACAGCCTTCAGGCTATAATGGAAAAGACAGCTTCACGGCAAAGCACTAGATTACAGCTCACGACTCGGTTCAGTTGTTCTCAGAACTCAACGTACTCTCGAAACTCTCAATAACCTCAACGACTCAATAGCTTTAACGATGCACTCTCGATACACTGATGAGACACTTCAACAGTAGACTGACGATTAATTCAATAAATTACGAAACACATGCTTCTCCGCATACCAGCAGGGTTTATATAGCTTTCGGCTTACCTTCAAGAACATACTGGGCCTAACCGATAAAAATTCGTTCCAGAAGGTTCTCCATTCGTCTATGGCATATCGCCAATTTTGTCACCAAATAGGCGATTTTGTGCAAAATCTAGCTACCCTGTCTTCCCTTGCCATTTTCCGGCAACCTTAAATCTCCTTTGCAGTGAAGCTATGTTATCCCAGCTGGTCATTTCTTAACACTGCCTCCTCCAACAAGATATATACTGGTAGAGAGCGTATCTGCAACCTCCAGGGATAAAAGATCACTGCTCTGCTTGGCCACATAAAATTTAAGAAAATATGGTTATCCGTTGCAGCGCCTATGGATGTAAAGAAAGTTTTGCGAAAGGAATAACTGTTACCTTTAATATGTAAGCTAAAACTGCATGATTTATTATTTTATTTCCAGTATTTTTGTCATTTTACTACCTCTGTTGAATTGATTGGAAAACTTCAGCCATATTGTACAAGAAAATTGCTGCTGTACATGACATTTTCAGCATGTATTAATAGCATCAAAATTTATTAAACACTGTGACACTATTTACTGGAATCACCTTTTACAAATAATTGAATTTTATGTTCTTTTTCCGTATACTCTGTTGAAATAGAAAGCTGCACCAATTGGCAGTAACCTTTTTTCGCCGAGTCGTGCGCGTTTTGGTTTCGTAAACAAGTACTGCTTGCAATAAAAAAAGAAAAATGCTATTATTATTAAATTATTGAGATAAGATTGTGCAATATGTTTACTTTGTTAAAAAAAAAAAAAAAAAAGCTGAAAATCTTGATTCATGCAATATTGAACATAAATATTTAAACAACATTATTTTAAAAATCAGATTACTTTTCTAAAGCTCAGTGCTTTATCATTATTTTCTATAAAATCAATTAAAATAAAAATAATCTGGACTATAATTCTGTCTCATCTACGACGCTGTTGGAAATTTATCGTAATTGAAAAAATATGTGAAAATTTACAATATTTTAAATAGTATTATTTTTTTTTAAAAAAAAAAGAGAGAGAGAGAATTTTTAACTATAATATCGGCTTGTTTTGTTTAATCCTAATGATAAATACTCAGTTGAAGTTTGTTATCGTTTGATACACATTCAATATAAAATATTATATATATTATTAATAGATATGTATTGTCCCCCCATGACGTACACGAGTTTGGAAATCAGTAATTAAGATTGCATTATTTTGTTCCAGTAATATTAATCTCAAGAAAAAGGAGGTGATGCTCATTTTAGAAGTTTAACCTACAGGCAGTGAAACGTAATTGAGTTTGTTACTAGATTTTTATGAAGAAAGAATTGTTGATGGCAAAATCAAAGTAACTTTGATCAACATTGCCCTGAGCAGAAATTTTTTCCCATCTACCATCATAACAATCAAAAAGTGACTCAAATTTTCTTTTAAATTCATGCTTGACCCTCTTTTCTATAGAAGGGACTATTTGACCTGTAAGTTGATGTATTACAAATTCTGTTTTTGAATGTATGTGCTATTGTAAAAGAATTATACACTGCTGGCACCCAAATTGCAACACCATGAAAGACAAGAGATATCACAACAAAATTTATTTAGTAGATAACATGTTGACCAAGTATCAAATGATTAAATTTATAGACTTCTGTGAATGTGGTTCCCTTCCAGAATCAGTAGCCAGAGTAGCCGCCATTGTTGGAGATCACCGCTGCCACATGCCTCGACATTAATTCAAAGAGACTTTGCACGTGTTCTTGGGGTACAACAGACCAAGCAGCTTCCAAACATTGCCAAAGTTGATCTGGTGTGGAAGCTTGGGATATAATCTGGGCCAATCGTTCAGCAGCCATTGACATTTTTTCTATCGGCGAAAGATCCGGAGAGCGAGCCGGCCAGGGAAGCAATTCAATCTGGCAATTGACAAAGAACCCTTGGACAATGCGTATCATGTGTGGTCACGCATTATCCTGTGAAATAGGCTGGGGCAAAGCCCTGAAGATAAGGAAGGACAACGGCTCCAACACCTCGGAGATGTAGCGCTGGCTGTTTAAAGTACCGGCAATGCGTATTAAGGAGTGCAAGAGTGATATCATACCACTCCATACCATAATAGCCGGTGCAGGACCATGTGGCAGGCATAACACAGCTGTTCAGCATCCTCTCTCCCATGGTGTCTCCAGACTCAAATCCAACCATGTGGTGTTGCAGACAGAAGCGTGACTCGTAGTAAAGACACTTTCATTCATTCCTGCCGTCACAACTTCTTCATCGCACTTGGGGCGAGACGTCTGTGGGTTGCAATCAGGGGTAGATGAAGCCAATGGACATCTTGCAGAGACCCTCTACTGTAAATGGCGCGAATGGTACGCGCAGACACTGGAATGATGCGTTACAATGATTGTTGCTATGGTTCGTGATTTGACTGAAGCGATCCGTGACTGCCATGTGACATGTTCCTGGTCATCATGTGAAGTGGTGTTCAGGGGAAACGATGAACACGTTGATCGTCATACCTCCTGCATCTAACGGTCAATATCCGCATTACAGTGTTTTGGTTTTGTCCGCACGACTACCTATTTCCCTGAAAGATATTACACTCTGGAGACCACTATCCTTCCTCTGTCAAATTCGGATACTTGATCAAACGATGATCACTGTTTACTACGAGGAATAATTGATCGTTTTTTTGAAAAAAAAAAAAAAAAAAGAATTGCCGAACTTGAAATCGTCGAAAACTCCAAGCCTTAAATAGCACTTTGAAGTCGCATTCTATGCTGAAATTCTAATCTTTGCATATCTCAGCTTCGCTAATGCATGTTGTAAATTTCATGTTATTTGCATGCTTCCTTCAGAATGTTGCATTTACGGTGGCCAGCAGTGTACTTTTTAAGGGACAATAATATTTTATTAATTTAAAAAAGGGGGGAATCAGATTTATTCAGCATTTTACTAGCACCTTTGAAACTCTTTTATGTAACTCACACTATATCTAAAGGATTATAAATTAAAATATGTTTGGGTCACATTTTAGAATTTACGTTTTGCTAATTCCAAATCTGTATTTGTTAAAATCAAAGCATGCTTTTAATTTGTAGTTTGTATTTTATTTACACTGTTTTATGTATTCATTTTTTAAAAGTAAATATCACATTTTTTATGTATCTATAAAGATTTCCATGATTTTACAAGTAATTTTTTTAAAAATGTATACCATCTAAAAAAAAAAATTGATGAGTCAAATTTCCCATATCAGAGCCATATATAGGGTACTGTATTTCATAAGGTTATTCATGTAGTAGTATATAATAATGCCTAGTTTCTATATTTCGGCCAACTTGTGTTTTTTTTTGTTTTAAAAGAAACTCATTACTTTTTCACAAATCGAAACTAAGAAATTTGGAATATACTTGACCACTATTTTGAGTGGGTGATTTTTGGTACTTGTTCCTGATATACTTTAGAAAAAATTTTAAATAATAAAAAAAGCATTAATCCACTTAAAAATAAATATACTACTTTGTATGAACACCAAACTTTTAAAATGAGCAGGACATGCTTTTCAAACGAAAAAGCTTTATTTCTTCATCAGATGCAAGTTGATCTTCTTTGCAGCTGGTGAAAAACGAAACTTTTTTTTTTCAAAACGTGCGTCCTGCTCATGGTTTAAAAGATTAGGTGTTCATGATAAGTAGTATATTTTTGTTTTACTTAACACTAGTTTTTAGTGTTTATTTGTAATTAAGCCACTTACTTTATAGTAAATACTATATTTAAAATGCACATTTTCATAATGTGTTTATTTAATTGGGATACAGGAATAAAATAGAATATGTATTGTCATGTTTGAATTTATAATTCAAAAAGAAAATTTTACTTTAGAAATGTACATTTTACAGCTGACCTGCAAAATATTAAATCTTACTAAATTTAACGTATAGCAGCATAGAGATAAGGCAGCAGCTTCCAAGTTTGCATGAAATTGTTTTCTGGACATTGCTGAGTTTATAAGCACTTTAATATGCAAGTAACTGAATAAAATGGGCATTTCAATCAGTGAAAGATCTTTAAAATTCTTTACTATTGTACATTTCCAGAGTGCAAGTACTATTGGTAATACTGAAAGGTCAGAGTTAAATGAAATTCTTCCAAAAACTATATCCGACTTTAAAATAAGTAAAATTACGTTTACTTAAATACAAGAAAGTAAAATATTTTTCTATAAATAAGATTTCAGTATAAATTAGCTTTTAGTACCATAAACTATATTATAAGTTTGGAAAGTAATAGTTTATGGTTCCAACTGAAAGTCAACATTCTGTAAGTATAAATTTCATCAACTGCATAAGTACACATATTACAATGTGATTTTCTCTTTAGGATGCAATGCATTAATTTGAGATTTTTTACCCCTCAAATATTATAACGTATTACAATTAATTTTTACTATTTTAATTTTAAATATTATTAAAAAATAAAGTTTCCATCTCGATTTTTATATTATTTATTTTATATTTTTTTTCTAAATTATTAAATAAAATTGTATATTTAATTAATATATATTTCTCAATTGCATAAGTACACATATTACAATGTATTTTTCGTTTTCCCTCTTTTAGGATGCAAGCAATTAAAATAAACGAGATGTTTTACCCCCTCAAATATTAAATCAGTATTGCAATTAATTTTTACTATTTTAATTTTTAAATGTTATTCAAAAAATGAAGTTTCCATCTCAGATTTTTACTATTTAGTTTAGATTTTCTTCCTAAAATTATTTAACCTAAACATCTTAAACTACGGTGTAAAAATTTTGGAGCGATTATAAAATATTCAGGAAAAAAAGCATTTAGTTATATGTAATTCGATATTGTTATCTGCCAACTGCCAGCTGATGGAAATAAAAAACACTCCCTGCCATATCAAAAGTGCGCCAAACCGGCGATGAACAGTCTAAGCTATCACTTTTCCAACAGCGCCAAGACCATAAATCCCAAGGTATATGTTGAGGTTCTGCTAGCAGACGAATTCCCAGTGGAATGAACTGTCTACCTGCTATATGAAGTCGTTGCCCCCCTCTCAAGGATTGCATGTCCTGGGGAGTACACTCCTTGGGTTAGAAGCCAAATTCAATACAAACAAAACATGATAAACAAATAACATAACTAAAGAAACATATCTTTACACTAAGTTATATATACAAATTCACCACATAACAATTTTAAATTTTATAAATTAAAGTTCAGAATGAATTTCAGTCTCAGGCTTTTCATTAAGTTATATCTGGGTGAAATACTCTTTCACTGCAGTTCATAGATGTATTTCTGTTTTGCGTATCACTGTCTGGAGCTTCCGCCTTTACAGATTTTTCTTCCACATGAAGTTCTGAAATAGTGAGTTCACCACTCTGTAGTATATTCACATCATGTGTACAGTTCACCTCGGTACTTTTAACAGTTGGTGCATGCTTGATTTCCTCTATTTCCTGGGAACCAGTTCCAAATTTTGCATTAGATTTATGAATAGAATCCAATTCTTTACAAGTTATCCTGGTTTAGAATCAAGTCCATGTCTGCACAACCTTCACTAAATTTGTGAAGTGGATGTATTTCCTCACAATACTGAAACACTCTGCGTAAACTGCACATCAGCTTCTCCCATCTGTGCATCACATGAATTTTCAGATGGTTCAATACTTGCTACCTGCGACTTCGTAAATTCACTATCAGTTTCTACGAACTTAACAGCCGCATCTTCACTTTCTGCCACTTCTACTTCAGGCACTTCAGAATCAAAAGCTTCTTTTCCACCTTTTATTTCTTCATGTTTTTGTTCTTTTTCTTATCCCATTAGATGTTTCATCCATCATTTCTTGTTCTTTCTCAGATACTTCATCAGCCACTTCTATCAATTCCACATCTTCTTTTACGGCTCCCAGTTTCTTCTTAAGTCCACTTTCACCTGTTGGAGTTGCTGTAGCAGCTTTTCTTGTCCGGCTTTTATTTCTTCTTTCACCTCTTCCAGTCCAGCTTTTACCAGCTGTTAAAAGTTCCACGAGCTTCATTTCGTCCACCATGGCTATTTCCTGGAAGTGGGTCACTGGCATTCACTCTCCCACTTCCGACACTAATTGTCGTGTTCTGTACAGGTCCGTGGATTTGAAGTGATTGGCGACAACATTTGATGAGGATTGAAAGCATAATTTATTAGCCAGTATTACTCAGGAAAGCTCCAAAAACATGTTTACAATTGTTTATAAACATACTGAAACAATCAGCAACACAGTCTTCAGGCTATAACGGTGAAGACAGCTTCACAGCAAAGTGCTAGAGTACAGCTCCCAACACGGTTCGGTCATTCTTGGAACTCAACATATCCTCGAGACTCTCCACACTACAATTCAAAATGCACTCGACGATACACTCGATAGCCTCAACGATGCACACTCTGCACCAACTTGTGAGATACTTTGGCACTAGACTACATGACACACACAACTCCGCATATCAGCAGGATTTATCTAGCTTTTGGCCTGCCTTTGAGAACATTCGGGGCCAAACCGGTAAGAATTAGTTTTAGAAGGTTCTCATCCGTCTATGGCATATTGCTTATTTTATTGCCAAATGGATGATTTCACGCCAAATCTGGCAACCCTAAACCCTCTTTGCAGGGAAGCTATCTTACCACAGTTGGACATTTCGTAACAATATTACCCTATTGAAATTTTGCTACAGGCAAGCCTTGAAAGTAAGGAATGACAACAGAAAAACTTCAGAGATGTACTAGTGGATATTAAGTATACCTGAAATATGTAAGCAGGCACATTAGTAAAATTCAATGACACCTCAAACTCCAAGTAACAGACTAGCATTGTGGTGCTTAATGCAAGGGTTATGATGTTTGTCACCACAGTGATGCCAGATTTTGATACAATCATTGCAAAATTCATATGGAAAAAAAAACAGTCATGCCATTCATTTGTCCATGTCCAGGATTCAAAGTACCATAGCTGCTGCATATGCCTGTGATGTAAAGTCAAAGGCAACTGCAGCAACACAGATTGTTATGCAACACACCATAATTTTTGTTTTTGGTGTTGCTGAGCAATCTGTCATTGCTACGCACACAATAAACCTGTCCTTTCCTTCAGTGACTGGCACAATCATTCCCATCAGCTGGTGCTTCCTTCTGCATTCATCAATTCCATATTCACATCAATGTGGCTTGATTTCATTCGGTACAAGCATCAATTTCTTGGGATAATCCAGCTTCTATAAGCCACATTTATTCTTCTGTGAAACTCAGAAGTTTGCTGGAAAGATTGCCATTTTTCTGACAAGGCATACCGAAGTTTTAAAAACACAAGAAACTACATATAGTTTCAGTAAAAATACTCTACTGCTCTTTTTTTTATAGTGTTTCCACATGGCATTACTAGTGCCATGATTTGCATATACATTTACTTGTTTTATTTACTTGAAGTTTATGAATCATCAAACCTATTGGATGCTTCCATTATGATACTGCATTTTGGATGGCCAGTAGCATATAATAAAAGCAAATTTATATAAATATAATAACAGTATACTGCTGCCAAATACTTATTTTGCTTCTGGTTTACCGCATGCTTACACTGTATGAGAGAAGTCATGTGACATTTTGAAGTTACACATAAAATAGAAACTGACCATAAATGAACAACAAGTTCATAACTGATATTCATATGCTTAATTGTTTTATTAAAATGCATTTATAAATTCAAAACGTAATTAAATACCTTCTTTCCATATAGTTTTTCCATTTATGCTAACCCCAATGACTATGCCAGGGGCTCCAACTTCATCCTGAGAATAATATTTCAAAGGTTAAAGGCTAAGTTAATGATTTAAGAAAATATACTGTATTTACTCATATATTTCGCTCTGGATAATTTTCAAGTTTTCCTGTATATGATTTCTGAACATCCAATACAGCAAAGTACATTGTATAAAGCAAGTACAGAGCAAAGTACATTTGAGCAGCAAAGTATATTGTATAAATAAACAAACCGCACTGAAAAGTAATAATTAATTAACTTCATAAAAATGCAGAATAGAGTAATATTAATACATCTATTTATATGCATTTCTTAAGCTATTAAGTTTTCCTTTAACTGTTCTCTTCAAAACTGGTATTTACCATGCAATCTCTTCACCAATATACAACAAGTAAATACAGTATTCAACAAGTTAAAAAAAAAAAAAAAAAAATCAATAATTTGTGAAGGAACTGTATAATTAACATATTCATTCAAAATTAATCAATTCCATTAAATTCATATAATAAAACATCATTACAATGCTTAGTTAAGAAATTCAATAATTCTATACTGCGTTACATATTTTGTATGTATGTACGTGTGATTATGGCAAAGCCTCGAGGGCTATCTGCCTAGGGGAGGGATGCCTTCGTGAGGACTTTCTAAGGAAAACTGGCTTGTATACAAGTTACACATGGGGAAAACCACGAAAACGCCCATGCAGCCAGCCCATTCGCGGGATTCGAACCTCGGACCGAACAACCAGTGTTCAGTGACTTTTCCGCTCAGCCGCTGGTGGGCCGGTACATATTTTGGAAAGACGTTATACTTTTAGATCAAGCACAAAATTCATATTTCAGAGCTGCTGTCATATACGGACCGGTTGGTGAGAAACTCCACAATTTTACTTATTTAAATTTTTTGTTACAAGTCTGAAAAAGCATGGTTTATGCATACGATTTATGCTAAAAGACCGAAATAAAAATAAAAAATTTAGATAAGTAAAAGCCTGAACTTTCTCACCAAAAATATTTGATGACAAATTTAAACAGTCAAAGTTTACAATTGGGTGCCTCTTGTTTTTTTTGGGGGGGGCAATTCTTTTTTGATGCCAAGATGGTAAAATTTCAAGATGGCCGCTACACAAAACCAAAATAAGTCAAAGAATTGCACAAACTCGATGTCCATGTACACATCGATCTATTTTCACTTGAAAACATCAATAATGCACAATCACATTGCCACGCTTGGCTCTGGCATGGACATTGATCTATTCACTTAAAAAATCAAAAGTAAAACATTATGGTATCAGAAATGGATTCATCCAAAACTGAACAAAATTTGTGCCAATGAAGGGTCCCAACTAGGGGTGGGGGGGGGGGGGGGGGGGGGGGGGGGGGGGGGGGGGGGGGGAGGGGGGGGATAAAAAAAAAATTAAAAAACTCTCCACAAATTAAATAATTAAAAAAAGCAATCACTTACATCAAATGTCCAAAGCAATATAATTCAAACAAAAACTTGTAAGAACAGACATATCACATATATAATCCAATACACTTTCATTACTAAAACTATTGCAATCACACAAAACATGTGAACCAAAATGCCACAACTTAGCTATATCAGACATCTTTCTATGATTCAAAATTTCAAGCGTTACAAGAAAAATTTTTACTAAAGTCAATTTACTGCAGGAAAATCAGGATAGAAACCTCAAACTTCGTTGAGAACCACATTCCTTACCTGAACAATTTTTCTGCAAATCTACACAAATCCATCAGAAACACAATTTTTCTTCCAAATCTTCATATCAGAGCCGCATTTCTCATATGTCAAGTTCCACTTAAAAAATCCTGTATCCCATAAAAGCTGCAAAAATACACTTCTGTCAGCACAAAGACATCCATGAACAAATACTTCATTAATAACTCCAACAACATACCTTATTAAACTAAATCTAGCTTGAATACACTCTAAAACACGTGGCTGATATATCTCCACAATTTCTTTCATGGACCTATATGCCATTATTCAACAAGTAACCAAAAAAAAAAACACCACAGCAAAGTAAAAACACCACATTCCCCACAAAAGTTTCCAAGTAAAAAGTGATGCCATACAAACAAAATCTCAACTAAGCCATCCAACATTATGTATTGCCACATTTGGTGACCACATGCATCCCAGACCGTATATGACATCTTAGCCCATATTTCTTAAATCTGTTACTCCAACTTCTCTTTTTAATGTCTCATAGAATTTTTTTAAATGTGATGATTTCTTACCAGGGGCGGAGCTAGAGGGGGGGGGCATCTGTCCCCGGGCACAGAATCCAAAAGGTGCCAAACTGATGTTACGACATTTTAGAATTAAATGTTTTCCATCCTTGGCAAGCAGTAGGGGCGCAAAATCTTCAGTTGTCCCTGAGCGCTGAAAACCCTAGCTACAACTCTGTTTCTTACCATTACAAGTTTATAATATTCATCAAAATATCCCAGTAAACTGTTTTAGTTTTACCAGAAATTTTAGGAAATATTTTTGGTTTTATAATGACTTTATACATATTACATATAATATAAATTAGATAAATTTCATAAAATAATCTAACAGTTTTCATTAACAAACAATACTTTGATTTTCATCTAGTAATTACAGCTATGTGTTTAGCTTTAGTGAACATACTGGAGGCATAACTAATTTTAAAAAAGTCAGGACCTTAATTATAAGAATATATAAAATTATGTTAGTTTTCTGATAACTGATTATGGGAAAGCCTTATAGCTCAGGAGAAAAGTCTTTGTAGAGAAACTCTGAAGGGAATTTAACTGATATTGGGATTACATATCACAAAAACCACAGAAACCCAGCCTGCTCACCAGAATACATAACCAGTTTCTTCTAGCACATGATGCTTGGCCATTCCTCGGAAATGCATATTTGAGAACCTTCAATCCTTCAAAAATGGCTCAAATCCACTTCTTGAAACTTAGCCCCATATAAATACAGGTGCCTAGTTGATATGGAGTCATTTCACAGTGAAAATGTGGTGATTTCTTGGGAATTCTTCCATGGGGGTTTCTGTGTGTGTATGTGTGATTTCTTAGCGAGATTTAGTTGTGTAGCTAATAAGTGTTCATCAATTAAAAATAATAAGAAAAAAATAAAAACTGCATAAATTTATCCATCCAGCTTTCGGTGAGTAGGTCATCATAAATGGCAACCATTAATACTTAAAACCAAATCTAGCTTTCTGCTGGTAGAAAACTATTTTTCCTAGCCAGTGGTGGAAACTGGTGATAAAACTAATAAAGGCATTTAAAACACTATATTACTTAATAACATTTACTATTTTAATAAGTTATCTTTAAGAAATTTATTTAATTACATTCAATAAATAAAACATTATATATAAATTTACATATATTTATACCTATTAAAAATAAAAAAATTATCATTAATTTAATCCAGTATGTAATTCTAGTGACGGTAGGATTCTATTTAGTTATATCATATTTCTACAAATATATGTATTATGGTAATTTCCAATTACCCATACCCCTGATGATAAGCTGCAAAAAATATTAATCAGGCAATATACGGTGTCCCCAAGATGGATTTATGTGGCAACTGAGTATACATGTAGCATCCCTCCAGACAATTTTACTACATCTCCCACTACACAAAACCAAAATAACAAGTCATAGAATTGCACAAGCTCGGTGTCCATGTACCACCAAAAATTGACAATTATTGCCAAGGGGCACCTGTAAATATATTTTTACCAATTTCAAGAAAGAGTTAAGAATTCTCCTTACTTTACACTCCCTTTACTACCCGTAATTTTTCCTCTATCCATGTTAAACTATTCTTAAACATCATTAACTTGTAAGACATAGGATAGGTTTAATGTAAGTATTTGAATTGAATTACATATAATGATTAACTTATAGGAAACAAATTTATTGTAATGACTTTAATGATAATCTTAGCAATAATGTGGAATATTGGCAATAGAACAAATTGGTTTCAATCATTGAACTTTGGAAGAATACTCATGTATGGCTAATGTTTCACAGTATCACAATGGAAATAAATTTACGTATGGCAAATTTAAAAAAAAAAAAAAAAAAAAAAAAAAATTAAATATACTTTAATTTCATAGCCATTACAATATTCTTTAGACTTCTCCTTACTTTACATTCCTTTACCACCTGCACTTTTCCCCCCATCCCTGTTAAACTAGCCTTAAACATCCTTAACTTGTAAGACATAGGCTAGGTCTAAGAGGTTCCACTACAGGAACCGATTCTAAAAAGGACTCTACGAGTCAAAAGCTCTGGAAACTGCTGACTTAAAATCTTTAAATAACATATTACATTTGTTTTGAAGCAAGTGGCCTAGCCAGCTGGATGGTTAAAGTTCTTTGACCAATTTTCAGGGTTAGAGTAGACTTTAAGGTACACCTTGTATTATGGCAAAGTTGTAGTTTCATTCATCGCCAAGTTGTTTCATTTATGATAGCCTGAGTAGTTGTATGTTATGGAAACCATATTGTGACACAATCAGGTGCACGATTCTTGGAAATTTTGAATCATGGGATGTTTTGTAAGCGCTTTTATGGTGGTTTTATTGTTTAGACGGTAGAATGGCTCAATGTAGTAAGATTAATTTGAAGTTTCTGCATGATTTGGAGCGAAAGGGCTTTAATTGACTGGTGTGTAAATGAAGGTTTACTTAGTAGCCATTATAAGTGTCCTGTATGTCTAGTCGAACGTAAAAACTGTTTAGATGGATTTGAATGGGTTTGTAGGAAGAAAGGTTCGGATGTGGCAACGTCGATATACAGATTCGAGTTCAGATAATTTTAGAAAGTTTTTGGATGTTGTTAAGGAATTTTGTGTGCCACAGACTAAAGACAAAGGAACTTCTAAATAGGATATTAGTGGATATTTTGCTTAAATAAGTTATATTTGGATATTTACTTTAAATAAGTGGATATTTGCTTTTTGGAGAGCTTAAATGGACAACATGTTTTTTCTTTTTTTA